AAAGATGGCACTAGAGCCATTAAGTGAATTTAGTGAAATAGAAGGATATATTACCAATATTTAAATTAATTGTGTACTTCTACATATTAGCAATGAACAGTAGGCAATAGTTCTGAAAATGCAATTTACAATAGCATCAAGATATGAAATACCTTGAGATAAACCTGTGAAGAATCTATTGCCAAAAACTAGGAATGTTTCAGAGTGAAATTAAAGAAGACCTACGTAAACAGAGAGCTGTTTGGCATTCGGAGGATTCAATATAGTTAGGACATGAATACTCTCACTTCACCTATTCATTCAACACAGTCCCAACTACCAGGGTAGCAAGTATTCTTTACAAAGACTGACAGGCTGACTCTACAGTTCACATAAGAATGAAAAGGATCTGGGACGGTCAAGATCATCTTGCTTAAGAACAAAGATATAGATCTAATTTCATTATAAAGCCATAGTAATCAAGTAATCAATGCAGTGTGATTTTGCTGATTAGAAAGATCAACAAATAAGTGGAATCAAGAAGAGAGCTCAGAAAGAGACTCATACATATGGACAGTTTTGTTTTGGTTTTGGTTTTTGGTTTTTGTTTTTTGTTTGTTTGTTTTTGGTACTGGGAATCAAACTCAGGATTTTGCGTTTGTGAGGCAGGTGGTGGCACCACTGAGCTACATCCCCAGCCCTATGTGGACAGTTTTGACAAAAGAAGTGATTAACAGTTGAATGAATAAAGAACAGTCTTTTTAAAAATGAATGATGAAATATTTGGCCATTAATAGGCAAAATGATGAAGTTTGTAATACACATACCTCATTCCATATGCAAAAATTAATACAAATAGATTAGAGGAAAACATAGTGCAAAACATAAACCATAAAACTTTTAGAGAATAACTTAAGACCAAAAGCCTCATAGCCTTAGGTCAGGCAAAACTTTCTTAGATACGGATACCACAGCCATGATCCATAAAGGAATAAATTAATAAACTGACTGACACTGTTGAGAGCCTAGCAAGACAAACCACAGACCAAGAGAAAGTGTTCACAAAGCATAAATCCAATGAAGGGCTTGAGTTTAGAAGGTAGAAAGAACTCTCAAAACTCAATAATTTAAAACAACGAGAAATTCAAAGTAGAAGTAATTTTAAAAGCAAACTAAAAATAGGTGGTGGGAAACAGGAAGGTAGACTTACAGAGACGGGAAGGAGGTCTGAGGTGGGGACCACGAGTGAAGGGGAAATAAAAGGATTGATGTAATTACTGTGCATCACAAATACTAAGGCAAAAGAGAAAAGTCTAATGTTGAAAATGAACAAAATAGTTGAGCATTGCAAGAGCGAGAATAGATATGGTAAGTAAAAACATAAAAAAGATGCTCAACACCGTAATCATTAAAAAAATGCAAATAAACTACTAAACTAATAATCTAATAAACTACTAAACTGAAACTACTAAACATTGATTAGAATAGCTGAAATTAAAAAGACTGACAGTACCAGTTGTTGGCACAGATGTGGAAAACTAGAATCCGTATACACTGATGGTGGGAACACAAAATGGTATAATGACTTTGGAAAACAGTTGGGTGGTTTCTTGAAATGTTGACTTTTTTTTTTTTTTTCTGGTACCAGGGATCAAACTTGGGCCCTTGCACTTGCAAGGCAGGTGGGCAGCAAAGCCACTGAGCTAAATCCCCGGCCGTTTTCTCAAAATGTTACACTACGAAGCCATCCCACACCTAGGTATTTTCCAAAGAGAAAATAAGACACAGTCCATACAAAGACGCACACACAGGAATGTTCCTGCCAGCTTTCCTTATTACAGCCCCAAAGCAGCAAAAAATCTAAATGTCCACCGGCAGGGTCAACGGATAGGCAAACTCTAATATACCCATCTGGAAGTACTACTTGGTGATAAAAAAGGACATGCATTCTGCTGAGCAATGCAAGCCAGAGTTTGAAAGGCAGTTGGCCCTCTGCCTCTGTGGGTCCCACATTTGCAAGTTCCACCAACCCTGGATCCAAATTACTCAGGGGGGAAAAAAAAACATCTGCCTTGACCACATGCCGGCTTTTCCTCTTGTCGTTATTCCTTGTACCATACAGAAGAACAACTACTTACATGTATTTATATTATACTAAGTATTATAAGTAATAGAGTGATGTGTAAAGTAGAGTATATGGGAAGAATTTGTAGGTTGTGTGCAAGTGATGTGATTTGGGTTTTTCTTCAGTTTCCCTATTTGTTTTTTATTATCAACTTTCTTTTCATTAGTACATATTTGTCACACACTGATCACATTCATCTCAGGGAATTTTTACCTGTACATAGTATACTGTAATTCTTTTTTCCCCATTCCCCTCCCTTCAGTCCTCTTCCCCTCCCCACTTCCAGAAGCTTTGCTTCTATTTTTTTTCCTTCATTTCTCCACTTTTTCCTTTTCCTTTCCTTCCTTCCCCTTCCTCTCTCTTATTCCTCTTCCCATTTGAACAAATTCGCTAGTGTAGCAGGACACTAAGTCAACATTCAAAAACCAATAGCATTTCTGCACCTGAGTAACAAGCTCACTGAGAGAGAACTTCGGGAAACGACACCTTTCACAATAGCATAAGAAAAGTGAAATACTTAGGACGTCATTTAACAAATGAAGTGAAAGACCTTTACATTAAAAACTACAGTACTCTGACAAGGGAAATCAAAGAGGACATCAGAAAATGGAAAGCTATCCCCTGTTCTTGGATAGGCAGAACCAATCTAATGAAAATGGCTATGTTGCCAAAGTTGTTATACCTTTAATGAAATTCTAGTCAAGATACCAATACCATACCTCATAGAACTAGAGAAAACAATCCTAAAATTCACATGGTACCAGAAGAGACCTAAAATAGCAAAGGCAACTCCGGACAAGGGCACCGCCCCGGGCATCACAATCCCCGATTTGAAGTCATATTACAAAACTATTGTTGTGGCCCGCCTCAGATGTGCCCCAAAGCTCATGGGGCTTTTCAGAGGTAGCTGGATCCAGAGGGTGTGACACTGGAATTGATGCATGGTGCAACTAGGCTCAAGGGCACTAGGATTAAAGGTGTGAGTGCTACCTGCCCTAAGTAGCCTGAATAAGATAAAAGGGACAGAGAGATGCTGTAAAGTCCCTTCCTTTGTTGCTTTTGCTACCTTCTGCCTGTCTGCCATGCCACCCTGCCTTGGAGCCAACTGTGAGCGAAATAAACCCCTTCCCCTTTCACTTTGGGGGTCCAGTAACAAGGTCTTAGCAACAAAAGAAAAGTAGCTACTTTGATAAAATGCTTGCTAGAAGGGACTTGACGAGCATCTGTGAATTTGGGTTTCTGTGGGGTCCCAGAACCACACCTCCGTGGATATCAAGGGACAACTTTACTACATGATTGCCTCTCTGTCAAGTTCCTCTGCAGTACGCAGCTTCCTAGTGAGCGTCCAGAGCAGAGCAGGTCCTCTGGGGTGGGTGGGTGAGGAGGGCTCGGGGGTGCTGATAAACTCTGTGGGTGAGAACTGCACCGCGCCCACTATTTTGATTGTGGAAAGTGGGGACCCACTTGTCAAATCCTACAGAACTGTATTCTCCAAATATGTGTGGTTTCTAGTGTATCTCAATTTCTTTTTTTTAAATGTCTTTAGTGGCTTCACAGCCTCACACTGCAGTTTGCACTGCATTCAGGCTTTTGTGGTGGCTCACGAACCCCTGGGAATCTGGCCATTTTCCCACCTCACCCCCATCTTCTTCATGCACGCCTTCTCCTCCCTGTTCCCCTCTAGCTCCAGTCACAATGGCCTCCTTTCTTCTCCCTGCACGGCTTTTCCCACCCCCAAAGCTTACACTGCTTTTCTCTCTTCCCCATCACATTCGGTGCTCAGCACCCCGCCCAATTGTCTGCAAGAACACCGGGTAGCACTAATCCTCTCTGGACACAAGACCCACTTCCTTTGTAACAACACTGTAGTTTGCACCAGGCCGAGCATGGGGGTGAACACCTATAATCCCAGTATTCAGGAGGCTGAGGCAGGAGCATTCCCTTGAGTTTGAGGTCAGCCTGAGTTAGTTATAGAGTGGCTTCAAGGCCACTTTGGATTACATAGACCTTATAGCAAAAAAAGTAACAGTTTGCACCATCCAAAAGTAGCTGCCTCCCACCCCCACTCTCCTTAAAATGCAGTACTTCAAAGAAAAAGATCTTCCCTGCTTGGTCATTGCTTTGTCCCAGCACTCCCTGGCATGGGGTAGACTCTTACCAGACACTTCTGCATGAATGACTATGTGAAGTCTGCTGTTGAATTCTTGAAATTAAGCACCACCGGCGTGTTCACTTGTCATCAAACACTAACATTCTCTACACATAGGAGAGTTTGACTTTAGAGCATTTGTCTCCCTATGTTCACACTCTCAATCCATTCATCTTTCAGGCTTTCAGGAATGTTTGGGGCAGGGGATTTAGCTCAGTGGTGCCATTGCCTACCTCACAAGCATAAGGACCCAAGTTCAATCCCAGGAACCATTAAAAAAAGAAAAGGAATGCTTATTATTCTCAGTTTACAATCCCAGGGCAGCTTCTTTCACATAAATTGCAGGTTGCTGTCTCACTGGGTGCCAATAATGCCTCCTATGATATCGTAATTTATCAGAAACTCAAGTTCACTATAAATAATTCAGGAAATAGCCTTTGTTCAAAAATCCAGAGCATTTGAGGGCAAAAATAAATATTCTGACATGGCCAAAGTGTAGGGTTGGGAGAAGAAACAAAACTTTTGCATTGACAAATATTTGTGGATTTATTTATTTTTTTACTTTCTCGGAAGTTGAAAACTGAGTAAGCCAATGGCCCCTCTGAACCTTAAAATCACACAATTCATAAGTCACAGAACCAAGACTTCAACTAAAATCTTCTGACATCAGGAGGGGCCTTGGAGAAAGGGGCTCCATTTCTTCGATACAAGTACCCAGAAATGGCCTCTGCCCCTTCTGCTCACATTGTGCGGGCCAAGTCAAGTCACGTGACTGTTCCTCTTACTTCGGGGAGCTGGGAGGGCCGTCACCTGGGCTCCTAGAAGGAGATCAGTAAAGCTGCTTGACGTCTTCATTACGGAAAACCCTCAGCATTCGCGGAAGAGAGCACCCTTAGCCAGTGGGCAGCCATGGGAAACTTTCAACCACTGAGCGGCAGGATCAAGACCCCTAAAGACCGGGATCTGTGGCCCCATGAACCCCAATTTCAGCCTATGAACTCTCAGAGGTGCCAGTGGTGTCCATGCCTGAGAGCATAAAGGCCTGTTTGTCCAGGCATCGCATTGAAGGTAAGAGCACATGAGACCCATCTCCACTTGTGCCAACAAAATTTCCCACAAATCTCTGCTCTACCCCAAAGGTGGGCATTTCCCAGTTGCACCCTCACCCTCTATGACTGCCCCCCAACACCAGTCCTGCCCAAACATCTTCCAAACAGCTGGAAGTTCTCCTAGCTGATTTTGAAAAGTCGCTCTTAAATTCTTCCTCTCAGAAAGTGGCTCTGGCAAGTGCTGAGTAGTTCACACCAGATGGGATACATTTACACAGAGCCGGAACCAAAGAACACCCATCTCTCTGAGCATGGTGACAGAAAACACTGTCTCAAGTTCTGCTTTTCACACCTGTCACTGTCACAACTCTGTGTGTGTGTTCTTAGTGAAAGAGACTTCCCTGATGAGGAAAATATTTTTCTAAACAAACATACAGTTAGATCCTTTTCATTATACCTGCTATTCATTTCACATTCTCCTGATCCTGAAGCAAAGCCAAAGAGATGTTCTCCAGCCATGTGTGTCTTTGAAAATTGGAGCTTAGATCTGTCCACTCTTGATTTAATTTATGAGGGAAACGTGTTCCAACTGCAACCACATGCCAGTTGGAGTCACTTCTCTCTCGGGGCTCCACTCTGGGAAGTTAGAAAATTCATCCTCGAGTTCAGGAAGATGTTACGCTGTACAGTAGGTTCCTTGGGAAGCTCTGAGATGAAGCCATGCAAGGCACTGGACAGTGCATTGTTTTGAGATCTGTTCCATGAAGGGAAGCAGAGGACATGGGAAGAGACAGAGGGAAAACTCAGGTTGCAGCAGAAACTTCAACAAAAGCTTCAGTTGACCTATGAGAGGCTTAGAAGTTCACAAGGCCCATCTGAGGCATCCACTTCACAGCCAAGATGGCAGGCTATCTGCTCTGACTGAGCAGTCATCAGACACAGGCCGCACCAGGAATGGGAGTGACTTGGATGGAGTAACACTCTCCAACACACAGCAATTTCCAGAGAAGGCCACAAGCATTTCCTGCCACTGGGGACAAAAGGCATTCTTTCCTGAAGAAAGATCTGGGGCAACAATACAGTATCCATTACATATTTTACATCCACAACTGGAGTCCAATTAGGCAGTGTGAGTTTGTGGAAGGAGTCCCATGGACCACACAGATCAGCCTGCAAAACTGAGTGAACAACCAAAACTAAGCAGCTTGGGCCACCACAGGGACACCGCACTCAATAAAGATCCCGTGTCAGGCCGGTGATTTAGCTCAGTGGTTCCAGAGCCTGCCTCACAAGCACAAGGTTCAGAGTTCAATCCCCAGTACCAAAAAAAAAGACAGAGAGAGATCCAGTGACCAACCAAATTCTGGGCATATCTAGTCCTGCCCTGAACTCCATAACACACAATCCATGAGCCTTCTGAAGACCACACTAGCTGAGAAGTGGAGGATAGCAGTGAATTTTTCTGCCCCCACTCTGGACTCTGTACCTGAGAGCCTGATATCAGCCAACAAAGAGCCCACCTCTGTAGACCTCTGAGCCTCTCCATCAGAGCAGCCTCTCTGTGGCTACCAACACTTGTTTTCTTCTTCTCAGAACCGGCCCCGCATTTCCAGATCCAAGCATTTGCCTGGTTTAGAGATTTCTTCTATCCTACTGGCTTCTGATTTGTTACCACCTCCAATACTTCAGATTCTGGAAGTTTTCAATAACCTCTGGATGCAGCAGGGGACGCCTGGTGTTGTGGGGCAAACTGTGCCCCTCAAATGACACTCAAGTTTTAACCCCCAGGGACCCAGAATGTAACCTTATTTGGAAATAGGATCTTCCCAGAGCTAGTCAAGTTCGTACAAGATCGATTGAGTGGGTCTAATCCAATATGACTGGTATCCTTACTAAGAAGGGAAATTTGGAACTGGATAAAGAAAATGTGTGTAGGGTTTTTTTTTTTAATAAAATGGAGTACTACTCAGCCATAAAGAATGAGAAACTAGAGACATTTATAGCTAAATAGATGCACACTTTGAGGCCATACTCTAAAGTGAAATAAATAGGACACACACGTTTTTCTAGTGTGAGAAACTGAATGTATAAATAAGGACCAAAATATATGATAGATAATGTGAAATAGGAAGAAAAGGTCCCAAGGGGAGAGGGAAGTGAGAGGAGTAGGGGAAAGGAAAGAAGGGAAGGGAATAAATATGAGAAAAGGGAAAATAGAAACAAAGTCTTTGTAAGTAAGAAGGGGTGGAAGGGCTGATGGGAGGGCAGGGGAATGGGGAAAAAATAAGAACCAAGATTTATTGTATAAAGGTACAGATTCCCAATGACGAATGTTGTCATATTGTATACCTAAAATGTACCAATAAACGAGAAAAGAGAAGTTCGGTTACAGACACAGAGAGTCTGTGTGAACATGAAGGCAGAGATTGGGCTGAGGTATATAGAAGCCAAGGAACACCACAGGTTGCCAGGAAACCATCAGGAGCTAAGGGAGAGTCATAGAGCCATTGTGCCTCACAGCCCTCAGACAGAACTCAGCCAGAGCGCTGACTTTGGACTACTTGCCTCCAGAATCACGCAGCAATAATTTCTGTTTTTTTAAGCTTCAGGATCAGTAGTGCTCAGTTACACCACTTACCTGGGGACCTTGTCATGGCTGCCTGAATCCTGGGCATCACTTTAGACAGGGTTAGCATTGCCTGGGAGCAGGTAAGTAGGTCATTGTACCAAGGTCACAGGGCCACCAAGTAGCAGAGACACTGGGTGATCTGCAAAGCAGAACCACGAGGTGTTACCTCATACCCGTTGGGCTGACAAAAAAAACAACAATAACACGGTTAGTGAGGATGTAGAGAAATTGGAACCCCCGTACCTTGCAGCTGGGAACAACACAACCACTTTGTCAGACAGCATAAGGGTTCCTCAAAAACTAAAAATAGTATCACCATATGATCCAGCAATCCCACTTCCATACAACCAAAGAGATTTGAAGCAGGGTTTCAAAGAGGCATTTGCACACCCACGTTTTGCAGTATTATCCACAAAAGAAGGGAGATGGAAGCAGCCCAAATGCCCATCTACAGATGAACAGAAAAGGAAAATGTAGGGGAATGTTACATGCAGAGGAATATTATTCAGCCACTAAAAATGATGGAAGTCCATGCTATATCATAGATGACTCATGAGAAAATTTTGCTAAATGAAATGAGCTGGTCACAAAAGGACAAAGATTGCATGATTGCATGCAGGCAAGATGTCTAGAGCAGTCAAAAATCACAGAAACAGCCCATTTCCCCTTCAGTTGGAGACTGGATAAAGAAGATATGGTTTTTCTATAAAATAGAATACTATTCAGTCATAAAGAATGAGAAATTAGATTCATTCATAGGAAAATGGGTACATTTTGAGGATATACTCTTAAGTGAAATAAATAAGTCACACATGTGTAAATACTGAATAGTTTCCCTGGTGTGAAAAACTATAATGGTACATAAGATCCCAATGAGATAATTGACAATGTGAAATAGGAAGAAAAGGGCTAAAGGTGTAGGGGAAGTGGGAAGGGTAGGGGAAAGCCATAAGGGAAAGAAACAATATGAGAAAATGAAAAAATGTAAATAAAGTGTTTGTAAATGGGGAGGGGAGGAGGGGGTGAAGGGAGGGCAGGGACAAGGGGGAAAAATGAGAACCAAGACCTGTCATGTAAAGGTACAAGATCCCAATGATGAATGTAACTATACTGTATACCTAAATATACCAATAAACTCAAAAAAAATCACAGAAACACACAACCTACAATGTTTGTCAGCAGGAAGTGGGAAAAGGTGACCAGAGAGATGTTTTTCAATAGGTGCCAAGTTCTAGTTTTGCAAAAAGAGAAAGTTCTAGAAATTTTGCCTGACCACATGAATATAACACTGCTGAGCTGCACACATTAAGGGGGAAACTGTATTGTGTGGCTTTAGAACATAATTAAAGAGAAAAAAGAAGGGGAAAAGAGAGGAGAAAGTAGAGGATAAGGAGGGAAAGGAAAGGAAAGAAAGGAGGGGAGGAGAGAAACAAGGAGATGGGGAAGAGAGAGGAGCTGCAGTACCTCCTCTTCTGGAGCGGGGGCCCAGCACACCACCCTCAGTGCCCACAGCCCCATGCTAGGCTGTGACAGAGGTCAAGGACAAAGGTCAGTCCAAATCAGCACAGTTGAGGCCGTGCACCCAGCGGTGGAAATCTACTGCGAGTTCAAAGCATCCGTTATCTTGCAGTCTTATCAGCAGCCCTGTGCAGCAGCCTGCAGTCTCCTCCGTCCTTGTGCAGCTGAGGAGTGGGAGCTCAAAGGGCTGGAGGGAGCCCTCCCAAGTCCTTTCCTGCTGCAGGCAGGGCCGGGACCTCCTTCTACCACCACAGTTACTGTTCACTTTGCAAAACCGCTTGGCTTCACTAAGAATCTTTCAAAGTGGGAACTGGAACTCTAGCTGCCACATACACTCATTCGTGTATTCTCTGTTTCTTCTGCTCTTTCCCTCTTTTTTTTTTTTTTTTTTTTTTTCCTGGAAAGGAAAACTGATCATCCAGTGAAAAATATTTTCCTTTGAGATCACTTAAGGTATTTGGCAACTTGGATTGCCAAATAGCATGAGAGAGAATAAAGTAAGATGTGGGACCAAGGGTGAAAAGAAAACTTTTGACGGGTCCTCAGAGGCTGGGGAAGTGTTTCAGGCCGCCTCCCTCCCTGCAGCCACCACCACTGCCAGGCCATCCACACCGCCTTTTGAGTTGACAACCCCTTGGGAGGCTCTGTCAGGGTGGCCTAGGCCACCTCGTGCCAATCCCGGGACTCTGCAGAGTGAAACATACCTACCGCCCACCTCCAGGGCTCAATGTGTTCAAGTTTCTTCCCCACTTGCCAAAACCTGATTTCCTGTTTCTAAGAAAAAAAGCTTTAAAATACCCCTTTTAAAAAGACTCTTTAAGGCAGCTTATACATCAAAGAAGTCTTAGAAAGTAAGGTTTTGTTTGGTTAAGGGCACATGGATCAGAAGAATTTCCATTAAATTTCCCTTTTGAAGGGCTGAGGATTTTTACTGGACTTGGGCAAAAAACTTTTGGACAACCCATGTGATTCTTGCAGGCTGCAAGGAGCATGTGGCTGGTGCACTCTGCTGCCAGCAAAGTTGCAGAGCTAGAGGCCCAAAGAAAGCGAGGGCCTTGCCTACGTCTCCCAGGAGCGGGTATCAGAAGCAGACTCAGCCTGGCCCACCATTCCCAGTCTGGTGATGTCTCCACTTATCTACTAGTTTCTCCTGTAGTTGGAAGTTACAGGATACTTTTTAAAGTTGAAGATAATTTAAAAGCTTGAACCATTCGGAAGAAAGGTGTGTTTTTAGTCTTTTAAATAGGCATCAGAGTCTGCAAAAAAAAAAAAATGCCAATATCTAACCTTTACTGGACACTCTTTAGGCATCACTCATTTAATCACCACAATAATTCTATGAGCCATTTGCTGTGTTCTCTCCCTTGCACATACAAAAGGAGAGAGACAGAGGCAGATTCTGGCTTAGGCATTTCTTTTTTTCTTTTTTTTTTTCTTTTGGAGTGGTCAGAATGTGACAGGCTCTTTCCGATACCTGGTATGAACTAACCCTGGAAGCAATCCTAAGAGGGCAACAATATTGTCTTCATGACACAAAATAGAAAAACGGGTTGTAAAGAACTGGATTTGCCCAAGCCTTCTCCAGCAGTAAGTGGCGGTGCTCACATATGAGCCCCAATCTGGCCTGCAGATGGACTCTCTTCCTGCTGCCCACCTCCCAGAGCTTCTGTGAAGGTCCAAGCAAACCGTAGAAGTGAGAGCCATCTGCAGACACCACGAAGGAGTTCACAGGTCTGCGGGACCATGGTGCTGAAATGCAAGTTGTCCTATTTTCCTAAATTTCCACATTGGCTTGTGACATGAGGATCCGTGAGCCAGGCAGTGACAAGGGTCCCAGATCTGTCAGCTGAAAACATTTTCCAAATAAAAGATTGGAGTGAACGCTCTCTTGTTTTCCTTGGGTGGGTCCCAACCTCCCACAGGTTTAATTAGGTAGGAAAGCTTTGATTCACCGGCCATTGTTGGAGGCCACTGAGAACCGTGGAGCCCTGAGCCTACAGGCAAGACACACAGTGGAGACCCAGGTGTAGTCATATTAGGTAGGAAAGCTTTGATTCACCGGCCATTGTTGGAGGCCACTGAGAACCGTGGAGCCCTGTGCCCTGAGCCTACAGGCAAGACACACAGTGGAGACCCAGGTGTAGTCCCCTGTTCATGTCACAGCAAGTGAGTGTAGCACCACTGGCCCAAGCATCACTTCGCGCCTGGGCTTGGTCACTCGTGTGTTCAAGGCTGTCTGTGAGTGTCACTGCAAACCAGACCCACTTAGACTAGAGAAACAGAGGGGAATGCGCCACAGTCTTCTCCTGTGGGACACACTTCACAGTCGTGAGGCCTTAGATATACTTCACAAACAGTCCCCTGATCTGTCCTTCCCTCTTCTCATTCCTACAGCAAATTATGCCAGTGTTGTTCTCCATAATTCACATGTTCAAGTCCTAGCCTCATGTTTTTAGAAATGGTCTTCAGTGATTAATGAGCTCACCAGGGTGCTTTTGGTCCAATATATATGGTATTCCTATAAAAAGAAGGGATTAGGAACAGACACAGTTGAAAGACTATAGAACACACAGGGATGGCTACGGACATGTCACGTAGAGAAGACATGGCCTCCCACTCCTGGGTCTTGGGTGTCCTTCCTCTGGAATGGAAAGTGGGAGTCTGTTGTCGGAGCCCCAGTCTGGCATGGTCTGTACAACAGCCACAGCGAAATAATGCAACCAGTATCTGACCTCTCTAGGGAAGAGGTGTTTTGCATTTATCGAATGAAAGGAAGAATGAATAAAACCTTCTTGGGTACATTCCCAAGGAGTTTGCAGTCTCAGGGGGTGATGAGCATTTTCTCCCTTGGTTTGTGCCTGGTGCTGGGAGTGGTGAGCAGAAACAGCTGTGAGCTTCCTCATGGAGGGCGTATTCTATCGAGGGAGCCAAGCATGGATCTCTTCTGAGGAACAATACCCCAGCTACCGTGACAGGTGAATGCTCACATTTCACCATCGTCTCCTCTCTCAATCTCAGCCTTTCGCAGAAGAAGCGCCCAAGGGGAATCTGTGGATTTGAACTGAAGTGACTAAACCCCAAAATGGCTTCCAGATCCACTGCCGAGGGGAATTAGTTTTCCCTATTTTTCTCTACCTAACCAGACCCCACCCTTCCTTCCTTCCTTCTTTCAAGTATTTCATCATTTGTGAAATCTTCCCAGAGAGCTCTGCTCATGGTAATCCTTCTCTTTGATCTGGTATCACTTATTTCTGCTCACAATTATGCTCTTTATTAAGAGGCGCAACAGGGTCATAGAAGGTCTGTAGTTAGGGAGGCAGTCCTAGCAAGGCCTTGGACCTTGGTTTGTTCGTTTCTTCATGTCTCCGTTTCCTCATCTTTAAAATGAAGGCAATGGTTCCTACAGTCTTCACAGTCCTTTTCATGATAGAGCCTCTGTCACAATTAGCACTCATGGCCACCAGGTGAGAAGAAACAGCTTCATCTGTAGCTAAATACAGCCATGTGGCCAAGTTCAGCCCAGTGGGGTGTGGCGGGGGGGGTAAGTGCCCCTTTCTGGCTACTCCTGAAAGCCTGGCTCAGTCACCCACCGTGGGCTCACTCTCTCTAGCTCTTTCTGCA